TTATATATAAATTATTATAAAATGTATACCTATCAAACATTTTAGAAATATTTTATTTTTTTCCCCTTTCTCCCTAGCCTACTCTATAGCTTTTTGGTCAGCTACAAGGAGGCTAAAAGACCTTCTCACTAGGGCGTACGCCGACGATCCCCCTAATTTTGAAAATTATTGAACCTAAAAAAATTTAAATTTAAATTATTACATTTTACATATGATTTTGCAGGAGCGTCACAAATAATTGCTTTGATTAATACTGCAAACTGTTGATTTTGATACAAGAAACCTTTATTGATAACTTCAGTTGCATCGTGCACAAAGTCCGACAAAAATGCATTGGGGTGTTGTGGCTTCTGATTGCCATGGTATATCCCTATTATTTCTACAATGTTTTTATTGCCCGAAATACTGGCTAATATTGGATATACCTGACTTGAGGAACTTTTAGCAAGTGGCAATTCGTCAATATTTATAAGAAGACCTACTGAATGATTCAAGGTGTTAATTGATTTTTGGCCTAAACGGTTAAAAATACTGTTGAGGCACTTATTTAGCCCAAAATGATAATAATGTCTGGGCATCACTGATTTTAGTTCAACAGACCTGACTGCTTGAAGCAAGGTTCTTGCATCCAAAGGCAACTCTTTACAAATAGGTTGTACTAGTTTTAATAAACCATTTAAAGCAGTATGGGCTATATTGTGCTGCATTGCCCATTCTATCAACTTTTCTTTAAATGATTTATTACTACTACTGCTGGTAAAACTATCATAAGTAGGATAACCTTCAAATTCATTGCCTTAACAATTCACTATTGTCATTGATATTACGATTTACGTGTACCTCCAACAATTGGTTCACTTGTACCTCCAACGTTGAGGTGAGCTGCACCCAGAATGTGAAACACTATCCGAACTCTCGCCACTATCCGAACTCTTAACGCAATTGTAATGTTTCTGTCTTTCGGTGGCTCTTTTGGCCCTCATGTGATATTTGGTTAGCTTACCACTTGCACTTGTTCGTTTCATGTTCGGTTCTGTATAAATCGTAAGCTCACAAAATTTTAAAAAGCTAAACAGCTAATCAGCCAAACACGTGTATAACTAACTGCAATGGACGATTTAATAAACTTTCACTGCAATCGGATGCACTCGAGCAAGTTCGTCAAAACGTCTTGTAGCAGGCATTTGAAAGTCGTCTTAAATACGTCTTGTGCCAGGCATTTACAAGACGTCTTGTAGCAGACGTCTTTAAGACGTCTTAAAGACGTCTTGTGCTGTCTGGGTATTTATTAACAACTTGTTATTCTGACTTAATTACCAATTGGTTGCATAACTTATGATGACCGATAATTTTTTTATTGCTTCATTTTATTTACGATGTTGATGTGCTTTGTCTATTCCAAAATCTTTTCAGCTTGTTTTAATTTAATGCTTCGCTGAATGGTTTCTGATTAATCAAGAATAATTGTTTTTTAATTGACAACGTAATGGTTTCATGTTTAAATATGGCTTCTATGTATAATATATGTGCATTATACTGAAAAAAAAGAGAGTATGAAATCAGGAAGGGCAGGAATCTAGATCCACTTTAAACACCAAGAAGTGTAAATAAATTGAGTGCAATATCACAAATATAGCTAATTGAATGCAAAACGTGTTCCAGCTCTTCTCTGAAGATAATGCAAATAACAAATTGTTTTCTGCTGTAGGTATCTTGGGAGGCAATTGTTTGATTTTCGGTAAGTTGAATTTTGCATTGTCTAAATTTGTAGCAATTCCAACTTTTTCTAAGGTACTCTACGGCTTTTCGATTGTTTTCCGGTTTTCTAGCCCCGAAGCTAGCCAATGCACTTGACATATCACTTTTTGATCCTCGCGTGCTTAACAGATTAAGCAGTATATTTGGAGAAATTCTATCAAGTAGAATCTCTACTCCCGAGCTCAAAGGGAAGGATTTGATTGATATAATTATCGAAGAGAGTAAAAACAAGAATGTCCATTTTGGTAAGTGCATTGAATTAAAAATGCATAATATAAAACACAAAGAAAGCGTTGAAATAATCAAACTTCCTAACGTCAATTGATTGTAGCAATTATGGTAAAACTTAAATCGGAAAATTGGGCATAGAGTAAAATTAACTTATTATGTATGGTTAACTTGCAATTTACTAACTGCAACTGCTTACTTAACTGCTGCGCTTACTGCAACTTATTAGCTGTAAACTACGTGGATAAAGATTGTACCTGAAATATGTATTATAAGTATACAGTATCCTGATTAAGCTAAATTTACATATTTTCAGATCAAAATGTAATGATGGCGCAAGCCTTACAGTTCTTTGCTGCAGGATTTGAATCAGTCAGTGCAATTTTGAGTTTTACACTGTATGAACTTTGCGTCAACCCACAGTTACAGGATCGCCTTAGAACTGAAATATTTGAAAACCTTGAGAAGCATGATGGAATTACCTGCGAGGGTGTGTCTGAAATGAAATTTTTAGATATGTGTATTGCAGGTGAGAAAAATGTTTGATATTTATATACACATATTTATAAAATAAAACACGCACACGTTTATAACAAACGGATGTCTATCGAGTATCTCTAAAGACACAATGAGTAACAGATGGTTTAATACAATTCTTCGTTAAACTCCTGAATTAAAGAAAGAAGTTACAAGTTTGATTGAGATCTCAATTCTTTGGATATTCTGCTTGGGTAGGTGTATATGAACTAAATGTGTGCTATCATAAATCAATTTCACCCGACTTGACTCAACGACTTGACGAAAACTCAACGATTTCAAAATTTGTAATCTTTATATAGGTTTTTATAATGCCAATTGGAGTTCTTGCGTTATACAAAATAGTTGATAGTGTTAACAGCACTTTTATCAAAAGATTTTCTAATATGCACAAGTAAGTCTATAAAATTTCCTGTAATCAATAATAATGTTAAGGCTCAAGGTTTAAGTTCAAAACTGTGGACTAAGTGTTTTATGTAACACAAATTTGTTGAAAAATTTCGATTTTGATATCCATTAAAAATTGTTTTTGATTCCAGAAACTCTGAGAAAATATCCAGCACTTCCATTTCTGGATAGAACTTGCTTGCGTGATTATAAAGTAGAAAATTCAGATCTCGTCATCGAGAAAGCTACGGCTGTTTACATTCCAATGTTTGCATTACATTACAATCCTGAGTTTTTCCCCCAACCTGAGAAATACGATCCACAGAGATTTGCGGACAAATCGAAAATCAATAAAGAAGGACTGTATTATGTTCCTTTTGGTGATGGGCCTAGAATATGTATTGGTAAGTGAAATCATACTAATATATGTATATCATTTAAGGCTTTCTGAAGATATTTAGATTAAACTAATTAGAATAATCCTCACAGGCAATAGGTTTGGGTTGTTGACTGTAAAAATTGGTTTGGTAAGTTTATTATCTAATTATAAGCTGGAAGCAACATCTCAAACTCCAAGGCCAATAAAATTCGAACCAAAAGCCCTGATTCTACAATCTAATGTGGGCGTACCTTTGAAATTTGTACCATTTTGATTTATTATAAAATATAGTAACATTTGAAGGTTAAAATGTATTGGCTATTTGTACCCTTCAAAAAGATCCTTAATGTATGGAGTAATGCATTAAATAAAGAGAAACCCATATTTAAAATTAGTGTTTTCAATTGGTTTATTCCAAACCCATCGGAATGCGTTACGGCGTCGTTGTCTGGCATTGATACAGACAAGTACGCAGTTCCCTCTCGCACGCATACAGCAGCCCGCGAACAGTAGGCGCTATTAACGTTCCTGTTCAAATAACATTTAAACAATGGGTACAGTTATTGCCCTAGTTTACGTCTCAATGCTAAATTCCTAAAACGGTACGCCCTTGTTAAGGATTCCCGTTAAGGTCCCAA